CGGCCAGCTGCAAAAAAAAAAAAAAAAAAAAAAGACACAGGCTGCTATGTTTGTGGAACTCAGCAAATATTTTCAATTTCCTCTTTAAATTCATCTTTGTCTTCAGTTACTTTACCTCAAAAATAGTTAACCATGCTGACCTCACTAGGCACGAAAACATTAGATCAGTAAGAAAAGCTAGAGATTGTATTTCACCATTTCATTATGAGGTATTTTTATTTGGCTAATTTGTCATTCAACCTGCAACAACAGGCTGTATATAAATAAACCAGAAATAATTTTTTCAGTATTTTTTTTTTCTAATTAGACCAAGTCAAAATGTTCACCTTAATACAACTTAAGGGAAAACATACAAACAAAAATACTTGGCACCGGGTTTCATGGAGAACCCGAAGTACTTTTCCCCAAATGGAAACAGCTTTATTGTTGTTTTTCTCTGGTTCATTAATAAAATTAGAAAAACTTCATTAAAGAGGAAAAGACATAGGGTAGCTTATCTCTAATAGTTAATATTTTATAACATTTTATATATAACTAAGTGAAAAAATTTAAATGCTGCACTGAAATGAAGTGCATGATAGTGCAAATCACCTCCCACTGGAATTATTTATAAAAAATGGTTTAGTAAGAAAATGCCAAAAACAAACAAGATTAAAATAAACTATTACAGAAAATAAACATTTTAGCAGGACTCAGCTACCTGAAAAAAGTGACATGCTACTAAAAACACTTTTATTTGTTGTCCTCTGTGTCACTTAAAGATCTCCCACCCATTCCAGTTTCCCACTTGCTAGCTGTGCAACGTTGGGCAAATAATTTAACACTGCTGTTTTCAGTATTCTTTATCTGTGAAGTGGGAATTATAGTGTGTACTCAATAGGGTGGTTTCTCAAATACTATGTTTGTAAAACATGTAGCAATTGTCCTAAGCAAAAGTAAGTGCTTGATACGGTCTTTCCAGGTGCCTTTCAGTTGGCAGGTCTTCTCTGTGGCTTTCCCTGTCTTCTCAACCAGAGGGTTTTTTTGTTTTGTTTGTTTCCCTTCACTAGTATTCACACAGCACCTTGTGGACCTCTGATTTAGCACGGCATATTACAGTTACTCATTCATAGCCACCTTTCCCGGTCATCTGTGAGTTCCTGAGAGCAAGGACTGTGTGTCTAATTATTTCTCATATTCTTGGCATGATACAAGGTCTTATTGTGGAATAACTGATCAGGAAGGATTGTTGCATTAGATTTTTGGCACCAAAAGAAATCCAAAGGACATTTAGTTAGTGGCCTTTATAATATGCCTCTAGCTCACATTACCAGATGTAAAAAAATCTTTTTATTTCTAAATATTGTCCTAGTTACTAAGTCAAATTGGCTTCCCACATGATTAGTCCAAATTTTCTAAATGCGGTATTGAAGCAGCTGTGGTTTACGTTAGACATTACTAAGAACTTCCTGAGGATGCATGATTGACCACCCCCACAATGAATATAGGACTAACTGAGGGAAGCTGTGATGACTCCTTTCTTGAGGGCCTTACAGTGAGGGAATCAGATTTTTATTGATGCTGGGTAGATTGAGTGGTGTCTTGTCTCCAGTAGGGGAATAAATAGACCTTCCAAGGTAATGGGTTTGAGACTGTTGGTTTCATTTGCTAAAACCACTTTACTATACCTGTGCACTTAAGGTTTCCAAAGGGCTCTCTATCCTTGGGAAAGCCATTAGGGGTACTCCACGGGGATCCTCGGGTTTGGGTTTGGAAGGAGATCCTTGCGTTCCTTTAAAGTTATGGACCACACACATTCCCTGCAGGATGAGGGGAAAAAAGACTGTGGTCAGACTGCAGCCATCAATTCCTGTCCCTCTGGAATGTGCAGGCCGCTCCTCTTGAATATCATCACAGAGTGACTTTTTTCCTTCGGAGGAGGGGATAAGGACCATGGGAAGACCTGAGGCATGGCCCAGGGTGTCTGCTGATCATGGCCAGTGATAATCAATTCACCCTCTTGGGCCTGTTTTCTCACCTGTGAAATGGGAATGGTACCTACTTCATAGATTTGTGATGAGTAAAGAAAGACACAATGAACGTAAATCACCTCATAATAACAGCTAACATTTATCAAGGGCCACTCTGTGTCTGGCACTGTTGTGAGGATTTTGCCTTGTTGAACCCACCCAACAATTATACAAGGGAGGTGCTCTTATCTGCAGCTTAGATAAGGAGGCACAGGGAAGTTAGATCACTTGCCTAAGGTTACATAGAGATTTAAACTCCAGATTTCCTCAATCACACCACTATGCTATTTTACCTCTTAACAAGTGCCAAACATATAGCAAGTACTCAGTCAATGCTAGCTAGTCTTTAACTCCCACCTTAGATGATCATCCTCAAATTACGTGACTATTCTTTGCTTGAGAATAACTCATTAGTAGCAGTTTTATTGCTTCCCTTTAGAAACTTTCCCTATAAATTACTACCCACTTTTCTTTATTACTGAGGCCCCTTCACAGCTGACTCTGTTTTTACCATCATCTCTTGCTCCTTTTGCCCATGTAGAGTTTATCTGCTTCTTCCTGTACTTTTTCTTTCATTATTCTGCATCTTTGTTTCTACATCCAGTGTCTGTCAATCCTTCCTGCCACTCTTCAAACCCTGCAGGACACTTACATAAATAATCTCTACCTGGCTCACCTCCGTCTCTCTCTCCAGTTCTGCTTACATTTCCTCCATTCAGAAAATGGGAGAAGGGGAGGGTGTAGGAGCTCTGGGGTTGAGAGACTGAGATCAGATCCATGACTTATTGGTCGGGTGGCTACTGGGCAAGTTACTCATCTTTGAGCCTCACTTTCCCCATCTATATAATGAAGATGTGAGTATTGTTAGGATTGCCCTAGGAACACGTGATTTGATGTATGTAAAGTATAGGGCATGTAGTAAATGCTCAACTAATGATCTCCTTTTCCCTTCCCCCACCTTTTTCCTCCTGGGAAACACAAACATGTAATGTTCAGCCTAAGCGGCAAGTATGCTGTCGATCTGTCTTTGCTCTTCTCTCCCTGTCTGTCTCCTCTCCAACTCTCTGCTTGGGAACGCCTCCAGTCTCCTCCATGGCATTCTTCCCTTCCCATGTCCCAGACTTGCGTGTGTCCATGAAGTGTGTACACGTGCTTCTGCACATGTCAGCAGTGCTCTCTCTCATGCCAGAGCAATTCAGCAGCAGATCTGAGTCTTTGATAAAGGGATTTGTGGAAAACAGATTTTGACATCAATTGGGAAATCACTTGAAAGCAGCAGCAGATCAAATAGTCACTGAGCAGTATGACACAGGGCTGCAAGTCACGGAAAGAAAACTAGTTTCATGTTACAGCAGAATGTGTATAGGGGGCTGCAGCAAACACCACAGCTATCGTAGATATCATCCACGAAAGCACCATGAAATTGCTGGGGACAGGCAGAATTCCTCTTCTAACTGGGGGTGGCTGGCTCTAGGACCAATGGACAGCAAAACTTTGGCTTTTCTTTGGAGCTCAAGCCTTCATTTATGTCACTGATCCCTCTTTGACACCCCTCTCTTCTCTCCAAGCCACCTGTATTCTTTCCCTCTTTCCAAAAGCATTCCTCAGGAAATACCCCTTATATCAACATTCCAGGATCATCTCAGCGCTACTTTTCCTGCGACTTCATCCAGAGAATTTGCATCTCAGTTCTTCATCTTTCACTATAGACAAAAAAGCCCAGATCTATTCAAAATAATTTTGAATTAGAATGGAGGTTCCCAATCAGTGTTCTGAGTGAACATGAGCATTTTTTTGTGTGTATCTTGGAAGGTAAAAAAGTTGGGAAATTGAGGTACAGGTAGGAGAGGCATATATGTATTTTGTATGTTGAGGGCAGGGAGGACAGAGAGGAAAAGGAGTTAAGTCATATGACTGAAATCCATCTGTGTGCAACACCAGTCTTAACAGTCTTGGATCAGAAAGGGTGGAATAGGAGAGGTCCTTTGAGATTGTGATGAATTCTTTCTCCTTGTGGAGGCTTCCTGAATATTGTTGGAGGATTTATTTGATGCACAATATGAGTCTCCATGCCTGGTGACTCACTGTAAATCCTCCTGGGCTTATTTTAAATTCTTGAAGATAGTAAATGTCTGCACCTCTCTGGTATGCCCACAGAATGGAATATTATACAGCAATAAAAAGGGAAGGAATTATTCATTCTATAACATGAATGCATCTCAAAATAATTATGCTGGTTGAAAGACACCAGAAAAAGAATACATACTATATGAATCCATTTATATGAACTCCTAGAAAAGGCAAACTAATATGGAATGATAGAAGACTAGTATTTGGGGATGAGGGGAAAGAAAGAGTGGAAGAGAAGGCTGTATTTCAAAACCTATCAAATTGTACACTTCATGTGCTATTTGCTATATGCCTGATATACCCCAAAACTAAAAAAATAAGAGGTTCCTCTTCTTTTCCAACCCAACTCAGATTAAGGGATTTTCTAGGTGAGCAGGTGGCCAGGCCCCCATCTGTATGAGAAGCTAAAACATTAGAAATGTAAAAATGTGAAAACATTGTATTAACCAAAACTCTGCTCCAGGATGGTGATATGTGATTGAGAAGACAGTTGTCATGGAAATAAGATGCCCCAGTGGCATGTTCAGATAATAACAGAGGCCTTCCGAAAGGCGGGTGTGTGGTTAGCTGCAGGATTCTCGTACTTCTGAGCAGAATACACAGCTTTTCTTGGGATGCTGGAGCAGAGGCTGCCTGCTGCTACCAGTGCTCTTCATTCTCTCTTCTTCACCAGGCAACACTTAGCCTCTGCTCCCAATACATTGAGAACAAATATTTTAAAGACATTGGTTTGAAGGTAAGCCAAATTATTATTCTGCCTGGCCCCAATCCCAAGCCCAGCATTGAAAGAAATAGAGCAAGCTGTCCTTCTTGGGTCATTCCTCTTCCTGACCCCCAGAAGGAATATGGCCAATCATATTAGTGAAAGAAAGGGTGCTTTGAAATCATTCTTGCAGGAAAAGGATGCATTGTACCTGGAGAATAATTCCAACTCACAAGGTTAGGACAAGGGAAAACGAACTTAGATTGTGATGTCTGAGAAACTCGACTTGCCATGATCTTAAGCAGCCATTCAGAGGGCACAAGAGGGAAAAAGGCAGAGGGGAGTTAACCTACCAGAAACAGGGCCACAGCAGTGCCCAGGATGAAGCCTGCAATCACGTCTGAGCAGTGGTTCCGATACTCAGAGACCCGGTTGAGGCCCGTCAGGAAGGCTGTGCAGAGGGTCCCGAGGCACAGCACCGGCTTGGCCAGTCGACTGCTCTTCGTTTTGATTGTGCTTGTGATGTACATCTGGAACAGGACAGAGGCCAGGGCATAGCCAGGCAGCCTCCTTGCACTGGCACATACACACCCATGGGCACACCAGCACACACAAAGAGGGGCCTGTCCAAAGTAACCAAACCGACTAGTTTTCCTTGAACAACTCCACTAGTAAAAAAATTTAGGTAGAAAACTAAGCAGCAAGAACAGTGAACAGATGCACATTAATTGGTCTTTTGTATTCTAGTGGGCACACGTACAGAAGTTATAGTGATGTAAAGAATGACAGAATGATAATGATCAGAACATGCAGTTTTTATGCAACAAATTAGAGAATCATTTTGGGTATTAGGAAACCCATTTTTAAAAAATCTCAGATACTAAACAAACCTTCTGAGAATGAATCTTCTGGTGGAGAAGACCAGGTAGGGGAGCAACTGTACACTTGTGTCCCCTGTAGTCCTGGCTGCTTCCTCACACTTTCAGGTAATCGGTACAAACATGTTGACTGATTTGTTGATGATGAAGAATTTCCAAGCCACTGTGTCACACAAATATTGTGCTGGGAAACTGATTCTCACATTCCTTGGGAACACTGCGATCAGCCTTATCCATTCATTGACTCCAGTGTATTCTAAAATATTAAACTTTTTGTATGCCACAGCATATAAAGGTTGGGAAGACCTGAATTAAAGGATGTGCAGGATAATGCAACTTATGACACCTGAGATAAGGGCTCTTATTTCATTGCAAATAGCTGGGTAAGACTCTTAAGTTTCATAAGCTTAGTTATCAAATGTGTGCTTTCTGGTCTGGAGTTAGGAAGACATGGCTCTGAAATAAGTAAACACTTTATATTAGAGCACCTTTGATAATGCTTACAAGAAACCACTAGAGGGCACTACTGATCTATCATTTCTCAACAAATGGGCTGAATGAATTTAGCAACGTTAAAAAACAATATGCTGCTATTTAAATTAGTCTGTAATATATTGTATGCTCTGAGCACATATAAGATCAAATAAATGCATTTTGTAATATTATAATGTAAATTGTTCCTTTCTTAGAATGATGCTTCAACACTAGTGTGAATATCAAAAGATGGCAACCTCTAGTCTATGTAACAGATGCCCTACAAAACTGTGGTTAGATCAAAGTTACATAAACTATAGCATATTATTACACTATTCTAAGGCTGTGCGGAAAATTTTTACTTAATCTGTACTGTATATATTTAGTTTTCTAATGTGTCTATATTGTTTTCTAATTACATTCTTTATAAATCTTTCCTAATAATGTAAATTGTTCCTTTCTTAGAATGATGCTTCAACACTAGTGTGAATATCAAAAGATGAAAACCTCTAGTCTATGTAACAGATGCCCTACAAAACTGTGGTTAGATCAAAGTTACATAAACTATAGCATATTATTACACTATTCTGAGGTTGTGCGGAAAATTTTTACTTAATCTGTACTGTATATATTTAGTTTTCTAATGTGTCTATATTGTTTTCTAATTACATTCTTTATAAATCTTTCCTCTAAGACTGAAGTATTAAGAGCAAGTGCCTATGGTTCGTATTCTTCATGATATTAACTAGTACTTAGGAAATACTTGAGTAATTTCTGAAAGCAGTTAACATGTAATAGAAACATTAGTACAATTGGAATCTTATATCAGGGTTTATCTGATTTTAGTCTGTGAGGTATGATTTTAATTAGATTATATCTGAATCCTTGAAAACATGTGCTTATAGCAGTGTCTAGTCTTTGTGAGCTGACTAGATTTACTTCTTTCTCCCCAAAAGAAGTTTACATCTCATCTAATGGTGAGATAGTAGCTTATTATGAGTAACAGGTTTATTTTTATTATGGTATTATCAAAATTTCACACAGTAGTACCATGAGTCTGAAAACACAGGAAAAAGCACAAGAGGACATTGCTTTATACAACTTAGGTTCTAGATGATTTAGGACATTCTGAAAATTGGAAAATATGCTGAATGCCTTAGAAAGCTTTCTTTGTTCAAAAAATACTTGGCATAGATTTTTAAGTTTTTTTTTTTGTTTGTTTGTTTGTTTTTGTTTTTTTTTTTTTTTTGGTAAAGCAAAACTGATCTGTTTTGTAAATTGAGGCTCCTGTATTATTTGCTTTCATGTTCCCTTAGTGTGGGGGCAGCTGAAATCATTTGTATCACATATTAAAGAATAGATCCATTTGTATATCTTCCCTTGAGAAATGTCTATTTAATTTTTAATTGGATTGTTTTTGCACTGTAAGGTGTTTGAATTCCTGTATATCTGGCTATTAATCCCTTGTCAGATGTATAGTTTGTAAATATTTTCTCCCATTCTATAGGTTGTCTTTTTACTCAACAGGTACATGAAAAAAATGCTCAACATCATCAGCATCAGAGAAATACAAAATTAATCCCTTGTCAGATGTATAGTTTGTAAATATTTTCTCCCATTCTGTAGGTTGTCTTTTTACTCAACAGGTACATGAAAAAAATGCTCAACATCATCAGCATCAGGGAAATACAACTCAAACCACATTGAGATATTCTCACCCCAGTTAGACTGGCTATTATCAGAAAGACAGACTAACAAATGCTGGCGAGGATGCAGATAAAAAAGAACCCTTCCACATTGTTGGTGGGAGTGTAAATTAGTACACTCACTATGAAAAACAGTGTGGAGCTTTCTCAAACAACTACAGATAGAACTACTATACGATCTGGCAATCCTTCTACTGGGTATATACCCAAAGGAATGGAAGGCATCATGACAAATGGATCCCTGCACCTCCATTTTCATCGCAGCTCTGCTTACAATAGCCAAGATATGGAATTAATCTAAATGTCCATCAACAGATGACTGGAAAAGGAAAATGCACAATGGAATACTATTCAGCCATAAGAAAGAATGAAATTCTGCCATTCACAGCAACATGGATGAGCTTGGAGAAAATAATGTTAAGTGAAATCAGCCAGGCACAGGAAGAGAAATACCACATGTCCTCACTCATAAGTGGGAGCTAAAAAATAAATTTAAAAAGATACAACAATCACAATACACCGAACCTTTAAAAGGAGAGAACAGAATTGTGTTTACTAGAGGTAGGAAAAAAGGGAAATTGGATGTGAAATTAGCAAAAAAAATGGCTAATGGACACAAAGAATGATTTCGTTTTGTAATGATAAATATACTAATTATCTTGATTCAATCATATATTGTACACAGGCATTGATATTCAACTCTTTACCCCCACAAATATGTATAATCATTTCAATAAAAAAATTAAGTCTAAAAGAAATAACTAGGAAGACATATTGGATAGTTGATAGTTGATGAATTTGTCTACAGATGCGATCCTGTAAATGGAATGCAAAGGCACTATCTGTTCTTGGTTAAAGAGTATTCAGCAAATTGATTTAAACTCTACTAAACAGACCAGACCTGTAGTCAGAGACTGATTTCCACCCTGGGGGCGAGGGCAAGGACACTCTTCCCTCAGAGGCAGAAGGTGCCTCCTGCAGTGACTCTCAGTGGGGGATGGGAGCATGCGGGGTGGGAAGCGGGTGCAGCTGAGGTGCACTTCGAATGTCTGGGACAAATGGAGCAGACGATTGGAAAGGGTTCTTTCCTCTGCCTTCTCCCTTTCCCACCTTTCTTTAAGGCTCACTAGCTAGTCCCATCCTGAATATACAATAAGTTAAAATAAGGAAAAGGGGTGTCTGTGACCAACAGTCACCCCTCCGCTGGTATGTGCATGCTGTCCAGCGGAGACATTATGATGGCAGCATGTGGAGCCTTGGAGGCAGATCCCTGTACTTCTGTGTTCTGGTTCTAAGGAAGCATAGGCCAGAGAAAGGTGAGAGGTGGTCATTTCCTAAATGGATGTAGTTAGAGGGACACCATTGTTTCTTCTTCAAGATGTGGTATACACTTTGGATTTTCTCTGTAATGATGGCAGTAAAATTGAAAGAGAACATTATACCCTAGTGGGGCAGTGAAAGGCTGTGTGATTTGGGGAGCAGTGAGAAGTGAACTTTTGGGTGCTGGGGTTCTCTAGATGGCCCATCTCTGCCAGCAAAGTGATGGAGCATCAAAAGAGCAAAGGAAAGCTGTGTATTTATCATGGGTCTGCACATAGTGGGGGCAGTCATTCACATGAGGCTCACACCAGAAAATTTGTAGGCAGGTTATGAGAAAAGTGTGCTGTTCTGGAGCTAACCAAAACTTTGGCAAATGGTGCTGTTGTGAGCAATGAGAGAATCCTAGACATGGTGCCAGGAGCTTGAGTCCCAGCTCTGTGTTCTTAACTATTCTCTGGGCCCCAGTTGCTGCATCTGTAAAATCAGAGTATGTAACCAGGTGATTATCCAAGTTCTTTCCAGAAGTAATACCCTATGGCAGGTCAGGATATTATACTGGGATGTTGGGAGTGAGGTGGAGCGGGCGTGCTATTATATCAACAGCATGAAGGAGAAACGTGTTGTACAAGCCTTTAAAAATCACTGTAAGTGACAGCGATGAAAGAATGGGAGTGGCGAGGGCAGAAAGGCAAATGTCCCAGCAAAAACTTGACATGAGACAGGAAGACTCGCTCACCGTGGCATATAAGGCGGAGTAAATGCTCAGAGCAGCGTGTTTGGAGGGAAAAGATCTCCGAGCCTTTTCTATCACTTCCAGGTCTCCAGTGCAAATGTTCCCGTTGTTTATGAACTGGTGGTGTGCTCGGCAGTCTGCACTGGTGTAATTCGGCTTGCACACGGTCAGGAAGTATGGCGTTAGGTGCCCAGTGACCACTTGTCCGGCGTTTACAAAAATATCAGTAGCAAAAAGTCCAAATGCAAACACTCCTGTAAAGAGATTTAAAATAATTAGGGATGGTGACATACCATGTTGTTTGGTTTTACCCCAAGAGGAAACAGATCAGTGAGAGTCCACAGTGACCTCTCAAAAATGATCCTAAGTACTCCCAGAGTCAAATTGTCCCCTCACCTTTATCTGTCCAGGGAGTGGTGCCTGCTTCCCAAATCACCATTTCTTCCAAACTGATGCAGACATCCTACTGTTAGTAGAAAACACATTTTCTTGTTGTGTATGAGGAATTAGAAGCAGCATAGTCCAATGGAAAGAATTTGAATTTTGGAGTCACGTAGACCTGAGCTCCAGCCTCACTGTTGGTGACTCATTCAAAGCATAAGTTATTTACCTTCTTTGAAACCTTGGTACTCTCAGTAGCCAAATAGAGGGGGGGTAGTTTGGGAAGATGAAATAAGATGTACAAAATACCCACTGTGTTGTCCAGCTTTCAGTAATTACTCAACACTAGTTCTCTTTCCTTCTATAGAAAACATGTTTTCTCTGGTCCTATTTGGAAATACAAATACTAGGAGGAGTTAGCTATAGTATAATGACAGGTGAGAAGTCTCTTAAAAAAAAAAAGATCATTCCAGAAATCTTGATTGAACCGGATGGTTCATTTGACATTGGAAACAGAAAATGAGAATATAGGGTGTTAAGGACAAATGTTGTTGACTATATTAGTTTCCTGTTGCTGCTGTAACAAAGTACCAGAGACTGAGCAGTTTAAAGCAATACAAATGCATCCTCTTAAAGTTCTACTCTTCAGAAATCCAAAATAGGTTTCATTAGGCAAAACTCAAGGTGGTTACAGGGCTGTGTTCCTCCTGAAAGCTCCAGGGTAGAATTCATTCCTTGCCTTTCCCAGCTTCTAGAAGCTGTCTTCATTCCTTGTTCTATGGTTCCTTTCTTCAGCAATTGCATCATTCCGACTTCTGCTTCCATTGTCACATCTCTTTCCCTGACTCTGATCTTCCTGTCTGTCTCTTATAAAGACCCTTGTGATTTTATTTAGTACATCTGAATAATCCAGAATAATCTCCATCTCCCCATCTTAAGATCTTTAATTTAATCATAACCGCAATTCTCTTTTGTTATGTAAGGCAACATATTCACCATTTCAAGGGACATGGCCACCTTTTCTTAGGGAGTAGGGACATTATTCTGACTGTGCTGTTTGGCTGAGAACCCTGAGGGTAGGCTATACTTCCTGGATCTAGCCCCAACAAGTTTAAATGTGGATAGGCAGAATTCATTATAGGAAGCTTTGCTGTGAATTATTTCAAAGTCTGTACATTGCATCTATAGATTATCTTTTAGATATATTAAGAGAGGCTATACAGAGCTCAAAGTACAAGTCACTGAAAGGATGAAGATGACTTTTTAAATGCAACTCAAGGAGAGGTTGGCAAGTGTGAGAGGCATTTTAACACTTATAAATGCTAAGGGTTAGTTTCAATTAAATTTTTACCAATTTCGACTCCTATATTCAAAGTCCTAAATCTGCAAATTGTGCTGATTTCAGCACCCAATATTTAATCCATTATATCAGAAGTAAAGACAAGTTTGGCTGAAACCTTCATCCAATTTTCATTTTGATCTGTATTGATTGCTATAATTTTCCTTTTTGTGGCTTTGCCAGAATGTGCTTTATCACATGAGAACTGGCTCTTTTAATAGTGTCAGCCTGCTCACACAGTGTCCGACCTCTGAAAGCAGGCATTCATTGATCACTCACGGCAGTTTTTACCCCAGGTTCTAGATGTCTGAATGATTTGAAATTTTTTTTACATCTTCAAGCAAGATTCCCAAAGACCAGGTCTCTGGCTTTTTCAAGGGGCAATGTCTGTGAAACTAGGGTAATTTATGATTTGAAATAGGAAAAGGGACAGCCCTTTCCTCTGGCATTTTATTTTAGTGCTTCCGACGTGGGCGGGTTTGTTCTTTCTGAGGATTTCTAGGCTCCTCAGATCAGTGTCTGTAGTGCCAGCTCTGTGGACACAGTGATTCTGTAACTGTCAGCTCTCCACTTTGGTGTCCTGTATGTCATTGCTAGAAGTTGCTTTTCTCTCTGCCTCCTCTGGGTTATTTCTGCTTCTCCTGATGCCTTAACAAGCATCTGCTTTCCAAATGCACAGATCATCCTGGTGCATGTGGTCTAGCTTTGAAGGGTACCGTGTCAGCCTGGGGAGTCCACCTGCCTGGTGCAGGCCACATGAAGAAAGGGCGGTAGAACCTGCAGCAGTGCTTCACAGACAACATCAGATCTCACAGTGCTTTCGTAAAGAAACTCAAGCCATCCCTCTGTTACTTAACCTGGAGCTCCTAGTGTGTATTTTTACAAGCCTCAGAAGCTAAAAGTAGCTTCTTTTGCCCTTAGAATTGGGTGAAGCACCATTTATGGTCTCCTGTATTTCAAGGTATAATTTGAAGGAGATGTTTCAAAAGTATACTATGTATCCTAACTTGGTGTCTAAAATTCTTCAAATGAGATATTTTTGAAATTTTAATTGACGCATCTTTCATTTCTGTAACCTCCTAAGCTGGTTCTTTTTATCTTATTGTTCTGTTCCATCAATAGTGTTTTTTGCTTCAGGGGAGCTGATTACATTTCTGAATGAGTTTTTGAATTTACAGCGGACACAAAAGTCTAAAAAGCACTTTTGATTTGCCAGAGCTATGCGCTCAAGACATTTGTTGTTGTTGTTGCTTTGTTCAGAATTCTGAAAAGTCTTGGTTTGGAAGATCAAGAGCCATGCCTGGAGGATGAGACAACTGAGTTTCTAAAATCAACCATAGAGCGATAGAGGATGCAATGTCACACAACGAACAGATGAAACCCTGCTTGGTCTGGCTGAAGGACTGAAGGGGCACCTTGCCTCTTGCAGGTGTCAAACCTCAAAGGCTGGGCAAGAGAAATCTCCAGAATGATTTTTTGGAAATGCAGATGAAGGGTGTCCTGTGCCTCTCAGGGTGTAGCTCAGGAACCATGCAAACCTCTAAGAAGTTTCATATCCCTCTTGGCACAAGAATGACAAGGCAACTGCATTAGCAATGGCTGAGGGAGGGTCAAACTGGTTGAAAATAGCCCTGGAATTAAAACAAAGAGGTTGGCAGCTGCCGCTGATGTCCATGGTCTTGTCATGGTGACATGAATTGTCTAAGGAAACTGGAACCTGCCTCCTCTTTGTGGCTGAAAACAATTTAACTGATACATGCTGAGCAAGCCAAAGGATGAAGAAAGAAGATGAAAGTATTAAAGTCCCTCATTTTTGTTTTTTTCCTCAGGATTTTGCCTGGAACCCATCTAACCTAGATGTCTTTGGACAAGTTAGGATCTTTGATCACTAGGAGTTTAGGGCATGGAGTAAAATTCTATGACCTGGTTCCTGTTATGAAATCCATGCAGGGCTCCAGCCCCCCTCTACCAAGAATGCAGCAGAAACAGTGATATCACCAGGAGATGGGCATGATGAGGGTCTTTGAGGTCACAGGTAATTTGGTCTCCTGGCAAATGTAATGGGTTTCAAACAGGATACCTTCAAAATTTGGCAAAATACATAACCAGATGGCTCAGTGCTGAGCACTCTGGCGCTTTCCACGTAGCAGACCAAACCTTCATTACCTAGACCTAGGTAACAGAGTAATAATTCACAGGGGCTGGTGCGGTGAGCGAAGGAAAGAGCAACTTTCTTTTAAGTCCAAAGAGCCTGTGACCTGAGATAGAGCCTTCAAACTGAAGGCCACATTTTTTTCACCAAATTATAAATGTAATTTTCCAAATTATAAATGTATTAAAAATAGCACCTTGCTGATGGCCTCTGATGGAACACTTCTCAATTGTCCACTAAAGTAGCAAACAAGATGGCAACTTGTAATGACACTGAGAGCCAGGACTGATGCCAACCCATGGAGAGAAATCAGTGAGAGGTTTCCACTGTCAACCTACATATGGAGTTAAAAATAGCACCTTGCTGATGGCCTCTGATGGAACACTTCTCAATTGTCCACTAAAGTATACATGACAGCAGCAAACAAGATGGCAACTTGTAATGACACTGAGAGCTAGGACTGATGCCAACCCATGGAGAGAAATCAGTGAGAGGTTTCCACTGTCAACCTACATATGGAGTATGTTTAATCTGTCTCTCTCTCACACACACACATATAGTCTCACCTCACGGAAAACTCAAGCTCTTCTTCAGAAGACAGAGACCACAGCAGAAAATCCAGGGAAAGATTGCCTTTCTCCCCTACTGCCTGGCCCCTGACGCTGAGATCCAGGTTTTAGACTTTTCAGAGAGTAGGACTGCTTTCTCTCCGTTGGATGAGATCCACTCTTTGAATTTGCCCACGATGGTCTCCTCTCCTACCTCAATTTTCTGAATGTATTTAGAGACACACTCCTGGACAAGAAAGAGGCAGGAAGGAGCAGGGGCACAGGCATCTGCACCCTGCACCCCAAGAGCACTAGAGCCGTGTGCTCTGGAGAGCAGCTCATGCTGGGTTCTGCGTCTTTGGGTGCACTTTGTCCTGAGAGAGCATCAGAGAACCCAGCAGTGAGGACAGGAGAAGATGCCAGTTCTGGAAGCTGAGGGGCTCAGTAGAAAGCCTGCTAACTAGGCACTGGACTCTGTGCTGTGCACACCAACCTCCTCTCAAGCTATAACTCTGAAGAGTGGGCCAAGAGCGAATCTCAGTTCTATCTGTTGGTGAACACTGAGTGTGTATTGATTTTGCCCCACTTAAGAGTGAATAGGGAGAAATAAACAATCACATAGCACATGGGGGTTTTGGAAAAATACTCTTGTTTTAGATTTGTATGTTACCATTATTCTGTTTCATATTCCTTGCTCAGTAGGAATTTTACATCGACGTGAATTAGTCAATAGTGTCCATCTCTCACAATAGGACTATAGAATATATGAGATTTATAAGTGCAAGGAACACATTTACTTTTGTTCATCATTGTATTCCCAGCACCTAATATCAA